AACTCAAAAAGAGAAAATAAGAAAAGGGTGTGCAAACCGAATATTCCTCGAGGAGAATAAGCATCCCAATGCAAGTCCTTCGCCCATGCTCCAATCCCTGATGGATATATTCCTCGAGGTTGGCAATTGGTTCAGTTTGTTGAGAGTGAGGTGTAGGTTGTTCGACGCGTTTTGGCGTCAAAAGTGCTGAGCTGAAGATAGATTTTGAAAAGGATCAACCATATAAACACAATTAGTGTAATTAGTATACGTCTACATGAAAAAATATATACAATAGAATGACAACATAAATGCATACGAGAGGTTTGTACGTAAGTGCCTATCTACGTCGACCACGACTTCTGCCAAGCGATTGGAGAATTTGAAATGACGAAGTAGGTGAGTGTCGCAGATAGTTTCTCAACATGAAGAGGTCGGCTATTCCATTCCCTAATAAGAGCGTCATATTCGGCGTTCGGTTGGGGGTTACCACGTTGTTCGGGTAGTTCATGAACCCACTCAGGAGGGAAGTCGAAAGTATCAGCGAGGGGACGAATGAAAAAGAATTTATCTTTTCAGTTGTGCACTTTGGACTTAGATTGACTGAGAAAGTGTGCGCTATGGCGGGTGGACAAATAGTAAGAGGTGCCAAGCGTTTTCATCCATAGGCAATAAAAACAAAATTTGGGGTCAAACTTGCCTAACCGAGCTCGGCATTCATAATAAAACTAACAAGCAACCTGATGGCGGTGGGAGAATAATGATTTAAAGATAGTCGATATAGTTGGCTAAGCTCTAGAAGATCGTTGCGCGGAGGGCAACCATGTAATGTCTAAACTTTTTACAGCCATGAAAAAAGTTTAGACATTATATGGTTGCCCCTCCGCGCAACGATCTCCTAGAGCTTAGTCAACTATATCGACTATCCTTAAATCATTATTCTCCCACAACCATCAGGTTGCTTGTTAGTTTTATTATGATATGCCGAGCTCGGTTAGACAAGTTAGATCCCAAATTTTGTTTTTATTGCCTATAGATGAAAACGCTTGCCACCTTTTACTATTTGTCCACCTGCCATAGCGCACACTTTCTCAGCCAATCCAAGTCCGAAATGCACAACTGGAAAGATAAAGTCTTTTTTCATCCGTGTCCCCCGTTGATACTTTCGACTTCCCCCCTGAGTGGGTTCATGAACTACCCGAGCAACTTGGTAACCCCCAACCGAACGCCGAATATGACGCTCTTATTAGGGAATGGAATAACCGACCTCTTCATGTTGTGAAACTATTATCCTACACATCCCTACTTCGTCATTTCAAATTCTTCAATCGCTCGGCAAAAGTCGTGGCCGACGTAGATAGCATTTACGTACTAACCTCTCTTATGCATTTATGTTGTCATTCTATTGTATATATTTTTCATGTAGACGTATACTACTTATACTGACCGTGTTTGTATGGTTGATCCTTTCCAGAATCCATCTTCAGCTCGGCACTTTTGACGCCAAAACGCGTCGAACAACCTACACCTCTCCTTCAACAAACTGAACCAATTGCCAACCTGACCGTTGTCGACCCGAAAAATCTTGCGGCCAACCAATCTGCCCCTGAGGCTAAAAATAAGCGACAACCCAACCGCCAACCTCCTCCGAGCAACAAAAAACAAAACGTCTCAAAGTAACAAAGTGTGGTGCAGCCGATCAGGAAGATGAAGAATCACCCCAGCCGGGTTCTTGTACCACTGGAGCAACCGAAAACCTTTGTTGGCAACAAGGATACCGGCTCAGCCGCGACTACTTCCTTTCCATCTTCCCCGAAGAGGAGACCTCGCGCTCGAAAGATAGCCAAATACGAGCTTCCACTACCCTGTTCCATCTTGTCAAGGTAACTTTGCCAACTTTACATTTTGATTTTACTAAATTTCTTCAATGACTTGTCACGGTACCCTTTTAGCATTTGTTAAAATTTATAAAGCATTTGTGGCTCTCAGAATTGACGAGGCAGCCCAAATGGCCAAGCATCCGAAAAATGTCCATTCTTTTCTTCCTGACCCATTGGCCCAGGCGTGATGAAACCCATCTTGGCCCATTTTGCAGACTCTAATGGGCTTTGGTTTTCTTTTTAACAAGCCCTCTGTCGGGCGTTTCGCGAGTATTGTAATTTTATATAGTTCTGATTTAATGTATATTTTGTATCACTATATAACTGATGACTAAAATGCTTGATTTGCGTAAGGGGTTTTTGGTCCTTCGGGTCCTCTTTGGTGGGGCTTTTGCCTGAAATTTGGTTTATATGTACTGATGAACTTCGTATAGTTTGGACGGCCTCTTTAGAGCCACAGTTTTAGATATACTATGATTAATTAATATATCTTCTAATTCTGATTGTATTTTTGCTGAAAATTGTGCTTACTAGTATTTGTTTTCCATCATTGAAAACTAAAATTGAAGTTCAAAATTGTGCTGTGATACCGCCTAAAAGTGCGACTCCGGTCTATGAGGACAAGGCAAAGGCCGAGTTTGAGGTCAGAGCTCGGCATGTGTTCTGAAAAGATAGAGAGTGAGGGGTGGAGGCACAATGCGAGTTTATTAGGCTGGACAAAAGATTCTTGAGGCAGAGCGCGACAGGTGTTCTGGAAAGATAGACGTGAGGGGTGGAGGCACAATGCATGTTTATTAAGCTCGACAAAAGATTCTTAAGGCGTGAATCTGTTTTTGAATACTATAAGCACTAAATGGACTAAAGATATTCGCTAAGAGACGGGTACAAGATTCGTGAGTATTATCATTGAAGAAGAAAACAAGAGATGGGTCACGAGATTTACTCGATCTGCAATATGATTAAGTATGCGGACGGGTCAAAGTTTTCTTAGCCCGACATGAGCTAATGCTAGCCGGAATTAGGGCAAAGAAAGTTCTATGTGATGTGTGGGAAAGATAAAGACAACAACCATCTCAACAGTTAAACAAGTGTGTTGGAATATCACTTGTGAGTGTCTAGTATATAAGCCTAGTGGGCTACTCCTCCCATCACCAATTGGTTTTGGGATGAACCTCACTAAGGTGCATTTAGGCTCACCCTCTTATGGTGCGCCTTCATCTGGTGGGACCGCACTCTCTTCCCCCGGTTCTAATATGATATCAGAGCGGGTCTGTCCTAGGACCTGCAATGACTCTCTCTCTCTCTACCCGGCCTGCTCTGGGCTTGGGCTTACGAAGGACTCACAAGTGAG